AAATGAGGTATTGATACTGTAAAGTTCTGTTTCTAGAAACATTTTTTTTTATTTATATTTCAATTAATTAGAAATTCTAATAAGATATTAAATTTACAGAAATTTATACCATCTATCCAAAACAGAATTATTTTTTTTTTTACAGTCATGAAATTTGTCAGGCTTGATGGTGCCATGTGGGTATTTCCTCAAGTCATGCACATAGATCTACCTAACATATTACTTTTGGGAGAAGGGAGGGAAAAGAAATTCTAATTGACATACACTTGATTGTTTCATCTTAATGTTTTAATAATATTTTAACTGGCTAAGTAACTTTACAATATTTTTCATTATAGGTAGATAAAATCAGCAGCTATGCTTTTCGTTTTCAAAAAACGATCTCTTTGGATTCCGTTTTTATTGTTTGATTTGCATTTTATTGTCTTTAATTTATATTTTTAATAAAATGACAAACACTTATCTTGTTAATCTATGTGTTTCACCTTGCATACCCTTTAAAACTAACAAGATAATCCCCTAATTGCCCCAAGCTATAAGCTTCTTGCACCAGTGGACAACTGCGTGCGTTCAAGCGTGAAGTGATTTCCTGTGGCTAGGCCTAATTAACATCTGGTTAAATAAACAATGAAACTTATCTGTGTGCATTGAATAAACAAGTCTGACATTGTTATCCCGATTGTCAAAATTCAGCGGTAGGGAAACTTTTAAAATCGGAAATTTGGGTGATTTTTTTTTTCAAATCGGGAAATAAGGGCAATTTTGCTTTCCCGATCGGGAAGGCGGGATGAAAGGGTAAAATCGGGAGGATCCCGCCTAAATCGGGAAAGTTGGCATGTATGCATGCTAATATGAATCAAACACTTTAAGTTATGAAAATGTCAATTGTTGTGATTTTGTTGGCATAGTTCCCTCCGTACCCTGTTTAAATTCTAAAATCAAATAGTTTTAGGATAAAAGTAAAAAAGGTGTTATTACTGTTAATCATGTTAATAAGTAACCACTGTACCCATTGTAACCCGGCTACATTGACAGTCCTTCAGAAATTTTCTACTTTCATTTTCCAATGGTTTTGTACTGTACCCTAATTGTAACCTTATTGGTAAAGGATAAATAGAGGTGTACCCTAGGGTACAAAAGTATCACCTAAAAACACAGTACCAATTTCTTGCCATATATGCTGACGACAGGTGCTTGTCATGAAAAAATATAACTAGGAATAATGGGCAACTCTAAAAGAGGCAAATATTAAATTAAATGACATACGATCTCTGTATTAGTCCTGTTACACAATACTAAAATTACATTGTAATTGTTTATTCTGTAGAATGGAAAGGAGGAATTAGTAAAAATATATGAAAAATTCATAAAAACATTTAGAATGAAAACATATGATGATATGGATGGACTGAGAATCGAACATGGAACCTTTGCATTACTAGTCAGGTGCTCTAACCACAGAGCTAACCAGGCGGATGTCCTCAGTCCAGCCTTATTTCCTACATTCCCCCCTCCTTATTAGTCTTCAACCCTGAAGACACAACACAAGTTCACCTTGTCAGGACTTAACATTAATTATATAAATTTATATACATATTATATTGTCTGAACAAGGTAGGCCATGGCACCATCTATAGTATGGAATGGAGAAATGAGTAAACATGCTTTGAAAATTCATAAATACAAATGTAATGTTTTGGGCCGTGGATATTGGCTTGGATAGCTCAGTTGGTAGAGCACCTAACTGGAGATGCAGAAGTCCCGGTTTCGATTTCCGGCCCATCCATACATTTTCTCCTTTCCTGTTACAGATTTGGTGCCGTTGACCACCCCTGGAATTGCAGGTGAAAGTCCTGCCAGGGGGTAATAAGAACTTGGGTTGTGTCTTCGAGGGCGAAGACCAATTAAGGAGGGAGGAATGTAATGGTTTGGGCCGTGGATATCAGCCTGGATAGCTCAGCTGGTAGAGCACCTGAATGGAGGTGCAGGGGTCCCAGGTTAGATTCCCGATCCCGCCATACATTTTCTCCTTTCCTGTTACACATATATAATGAAAATGTGGCTGGGCCTGGAATAAAACCCCGGACCCCGCATTACTAGTCAGGTGCTCTAACCACTGAGCTATCCATGCTGATGTCCTCAGTCCAGCCTAAATTCCTACAATTCATTTCGTATCATCAACATGTATCTCTGTATAAGAAATTTTGAATTCAAACGTTATCCCAGCCCTTTGTTAAACAGCAGTTTAAAACTAAATGAAAATTTTGGTATATCATATTAATTAATTGAATATACAGTCAAACTTCATTATCTTAAACTCAAAGGGAAGAGATAAACTTTGAATATCTGAGAGATAATGAGGTCAAATTACATGTAGAGAAAAATGTTTGATTACCAACTCACTTAGACATATCTATGGTACTCCTTACATTGAATATCAGGATGCAAGTTCAACTGTATATCATTTTTCATCATCTTTTTAATGTGCTTATTTCATTTCTTTTTTTTTTTTTTAGGAGACTTTAAGGTTCAAGGATGAAAAGAATTGGACCAGCCAAGAAATGGACAAGGCATAGAATTTATGATGTTTTGTTTCATACATCAGTTAGAGCACTGCATGTTTCATATGTCTTCATGACAGGATATTTAATAATGCGTGTGATTGGATATGTCAGAGGTATGTCAATTACTGGGAAAAGGGAAATATGAAATTGAAACATATTTTAAAAACTAAATACATAGATTTTTTTAACTTCATGTACATAAACTTATGCTCAAAATGTTTACAGTCTTAGGAAGAGGCATGAAAATTTTCTCACTCATCAATCCTACAGTAATATTTGGTATGACCAAACATATATATTTTAATCCCAAAAATTATAATCCTTAGTTTGACAAACATACATATATTACACAAATTGGCCAATCAATGTCACTATCCAGACTTTGGGTCATATTTGGAAAATCAAGATCTGATTTCAACATCTTGAAAGTTGCAGATAATATGACTTACAAAATCAGAATGATTGACATTGGAGGAGACCTTAGTGTCTGATAACAAATAAGTAAATATCTATTGATCATATTTGTTTAAAAAAAAACAAAGTTTTTAATTTTTTTATGTTCTAAAATTCTAAGCCATATAAAGTTTATGTTACATCTAAATACCTTTTCTTTTGTAGTTGATAAACCTAAATTCCTTGAGGAACATAAAAAGAAAGAAGCAGAAAGAATGGTTGAGCTACAAGAGAAAGCAGAGCGAGAGAGATTGGGATTCTAGCTGGAAAGATGTGTGTGCTGAAACATTTTGTGATGACTCCTTGTGTGTTTTGAATGAGATGTGTTTGATGTATGGATGGATCATTGTATTGTAAATTTTGTATTGTAAATATTGGTTTACGTGGTTTTACAGATATACTTTACAACTGAATTTGACAATTATATTGTGTTTATGAACCTAATAAATTGGAAAATTACAAATGTGAAATTATTTTATTTGTTAGGGTTTAATATTTGTTCTTTTCTTGGTACAAAGAGATTCATGAATTCATATCCCACATGAAATATGAAAATTTCTTACTACACTGGAATGTTTTTCCTTTAACCAAGATGACACAAAAATAGGTGGTTTACAGTACCGGTACACTATACATGTAAATATAACCAACAAGTAGAAAAAAAAGAAAAGAACCAAATCAGGATTCGAACCTGGACTCCCTGAATCACTAGTAAAGTGCTCAAGCTAGATATCTCATTTACAGGGAAATCTATCTGACCACAGCATTCCTCCTGCTTCAAAAGTCCTCCTACCTGAAGACACCCAGGTTCTTCCCTGGCAGGTCTTTCACTTTTCTATTCTGGGCATGGCATTAAATGTGACCTTTGAGGAGGAGAATGCAATGGACCAGACCAAGGTTCAAACATGGGTCTTCTTAATACTAGCTAGGTACTCTACAGAGCTTTCTATCTTTGGCATTATCACATGTCTGACTTTCAAATTAGCATCATGCACCTATGAATTGCCAGAAGTTCTGATCAAACAGAACTCGTTTTATCATGATCATTATTATGATCAGCTGAATAGTTCTTTTTCATGAAATACATGTTTTGGATGTATAAAAGCTGCCACTTCACCGAAAAATCTATCAATACTTAGAAAGTGCTCACCCAATGAGGCAACTCAAAAATCATATATTAGTTAAAGTCTAAAGAATTATCCATCAAATACAATTATACAATCAAAGGCCTGAAGGGCCTGCGAGTTGACTCGCTCGAGTCAATTGAGCTTTTTCATACATCTGGGCACCATACCTTAATATATTCAGTTTATTTTGCATCTTAAGAAATTGAATACTATATGTCTGATCCATGTTAGGTTCACATAGATAAAGTGTATATTGCTTTTCCTTTATATATACAGGTTGGCCGTATTATTTTGACTGGATTCTATAATGAATTTCAGCACATTAGCTAAAGTGGTCAGTGTTATGGAATAATTAGGTTAAAGATTCCCACAGCAAATCTGGATTCTAAAAATAGATTTTCAACAACAACTAGCTGCAGCTCATGAGAGCAGCAGGTGTTTGTGTTAGAAAGTATTCTAGGTCAATTATAAATAAACTTCAGATGGGAAGATTAGATCCGCCTAACATGCTTGAACATATATTCATACGCAGTAATTGTACATTGTACAGGTATTTAATCAAAAATGTCTTTAAAAGCATGAAGGCATAAATAATGTTACAGTATGAAATCTTATACAGTTTTTACCTCTTAAGTTTATATAATCTCTCAAACCAAAGCATTTTTTGCTAGAACTATTATATTTGGCGTATGGATCACCTTAATGAATGCGTGAAAAATCTTACAGCTCTGAAACGGCTATGTCGACAGGGAGTAGCTCGCTACGCGAGCCAACTCAAAAAATATAATGGGAACATATCATCTTGTTTGAAACATAGAACTCATAAATGAGCTAATCAATAATAACAACAAATACAGATATTTCACAGTTGTTATTAGATTTTTAGGTCATGTTTTGAACACAATAATGTTATAATTTATATAATTACAACAACTTTATAACAACTTTAATAAAACAAGATTATTCTTCACTCATATATAAACATTCATACAATACCAATTGACTTCAACATTTTCACATGAAACACCTCAGATCACAAAGGGACAATATAAAAGGGGGGCTAAAAATCCCCATTGTTTCTATTTCCTAAGCTTAAAAAAAGAAAAGGAAAATGTGGGGGCTTGCTCATTTTCTTTGTATGAATGAAAATAAAACATACATGATTTTTACATGAATTCTTTAACAATGATATGTACAAATTCTAATCTAAATCAAAATAAAATATACATAGCACACTCTGAATCTTCACATTATGCAGTTTCTTTCCAAAAATTGCAATAAGTATCATCATGATATATACACGACTCGGTATATACCAGGTATACATGTACATTTAAGTGAGCAAATGCTAAATGCAATATTTTAAATCTAATGTTGAAATATTCTCCCAAAACTAAATTAATCTAACTCACCAGGTATTAGAATACGAGAATGTAATATCACAATTAAGTTTTTTTCCGCTCATGTTTGAAATAAATGCAATTGCTTTAAGAAAAGGTGTAAATATATAGCATTTAATTTCTGAAATATACATGTAATTCGATTCAATTTTAAGAAGAAATTCTTGTATATTTAATTATCATTTTATTTTTGGGTAAAATATGCATCACAGACATTTCTTGTTGCCTGATATTATCTAAAAAGTAAAATAATTTTTTTGGGGGGGGAGAGAAGCCTTTGTTGAGGACAACATTGTAAACCAACTTATAACTGTGTGGGGAAATATCTGCACTTTTCATTATCTTCTTTTACTCAAGAATACATGTATTTCTCACCATGGAACATTACATGTACATCTAAATGTGTGTAGAATACAATATATTTTCAAAGTCACAGATGGTAAATATTATAGTAACAGGAGAATTCCAAATAAGTCATATTCATCTTGAATAAAAGTTGTTAATTTAATTTAGGTTTAAAGTATTACAGTATTCCTAATATAAAAGGCAATTTTAGGCAAATGATAAAGAAATCAAGTTGATGAAAAACTTCCCTACTTTTCATGCTGCTAAGTCCATACACTTTTTATACATTCTCATACTATAAACAGAACATTTTTCAAATTGATTAGCATACCTTAGACTATGACATTGTTCAACCAAAAGATACTAACAGTCACACAGAAATAACATAGAAATACACAAATCAAACTGAGATCCAAATACTAGAAAATAAACAGAAACCAGGGCATTGATAACATTCCTCGTCACAATGATAGCATTCTCTATTCCTAATAAACATGAAGATGTAAATTTGATCACAATTTCATTGCAAAGCTGAAGTTTCACACTTGTAAAGTATTGCATCCAGTTATACATGTAATATGGATAAATCTTACATCTACAATCTCATTTTTTTTTCCATTGTCCAAAATAAATACTGAAGTTGAAAATTCTTTATCAAATAACAATAACTTTAAATTTTAATTTATGTACGTGAAAATGCTCTCCACGTTTTAAAGAACTCTCCTAAACCTACATTAAAACCTTCCATAGCTTCAATGCCTCAAGATGCTAGACATGTATGTAAAAACATGCGCAGGCAAGCTCTTTTTCCCATCAGTAAATGCTTTATCATTTGTTCTTTAAATGATGATGTGATAATGACTTGTGAAACAGAAAACAGTGAGTACACCATGTGACCACACTTGCTATTGCACTCCATTTGTACATAAAATGAGATAAATGATAGTGTAAAAATTGCTGATATCCCAGAAGCATAAATTACGACAGCAAAAACCAAGTTTTGGATTTTCTCTAAGACAAAAATTCAAAATAACATGGCTCATTGACAGAACTATTTGCTCAGATAATGTTATCATATTGAACAATAAATTCTTCAGAAATACTCTTTTAAGATTTTGTTAATCTGGACACAACTATGATAAGAAAATCAAAAACTTGAATTGCACAAAAAAACTGTTTAAAACTTAAAAAATGACATAATACTACAGGTATATGGACGTACTATATACCAGGTATTTTAGATTGCACACATGATTTGATACCAAACTTCTAGATACTCCCCTATTATAGCAAATAAGACTAAGAACCATCCTCCCCCTATTAACTCATACATTTTTCCCCCAATAATTTTGATGATTTTTGAAAATAAATCTAATTTATATTGACAAGGCACACAAGTTCTATGTACCTTTTGGGCCCAAATTTGACAGGAATTTTCAGTAAACTTAACAATTTATACCACTGAGAGTTACCTCTCTTCACAATGGATCATTGAACCTTAACAGACAGAAATACAGGGCTAAAAATAAAATGTTTCATTACAAAAAAACTGCTTTGGGAATTTCCTTTCAACCAAGAATTTTCCAAAGATTATCAAATAATTCTTCTAAAATTTGGGAAATTGTGTTTTGATTCCAGTTTTAAATCCTGCAGTTCCTAACAGATTTAAATTTGCATGCACATGTGCACACAATAGTAGGTCTCATTTAACTGCAATTATTTCTTCTATAAAATACTGTCTACAAAGCTGTACTTAATTAATTTGTCTGTTACTCTATAATAACATAAACTTGTCTGATCATGAAGTTACTTCAAACGATAAATACAATGTAATGTTAACATTACAACCATTCTGTAACAAAGAGCTGCCTCTAGTTGATTAATATACAGTATTTAAATATATAAGCTAGTCTATACGCACATTTAGAGCAGAGTAAACAATGGTTTTAAATTAATCCCTGTTTTAATGACCCGATTCACATTTTTGAAGAATTTCATATACCTTTATACAATAACCCACTACAACAAAAGGAAAACAACAACAAGAATACTATATAAACATGCAGGGTACATGTAGATTTAGACATTTCATCTTGTAATACGTAATTTCTTGGTAACAAACAATAATAACAAAACAATACTCTTTAGAATAGTTCTTTAAAGTTTTCTATAAAGTTTCCTAAACTGTAACTTTAGCAGTATATGTTTTCATCAGCAAAGTAAACACACTTCCAGCAAAAATAAATTAAAAATAGTCAATAATACATTTGTAAATGAATATCTATGGTATTGAACAAGTATGTGTCCTCAATATAAAATATTTTGATGCTTTTTATACTAAAATGCAATCTTTACATAATGTAATGTATATTTTTTTGGATGCCATTTCAAATTATATAATAAACAATATTCATGTTTGCCTTTCTCACATATTAAAGCAGTTGTAATTCTATAAACAAAACATTTGTGTTTAAATTCAAATGAAAATTCATAAAATATTAGTATTATGTCCTTACTTTTGTGTTCAAATGCAAAATAGTTTTATAAAACAAAGTCTATACATCTACATTTACAAAGATGAGGATATATATAAACATTATGAAATCTATGGAATGGCACAAACAATGAAATCACATTATATACATGTATTACAACACAAGTACTTGAAACAGTATCACAAAACAGTCAGATCTCTAAATTCATTGGTATACATACATAAACATGTACCTACATTAACCAAGCCTTCAATGATGAATAATTTTCCCCAAGAAAAATATAATTCTTAAAAATATTTTTATATAAAAAAGAAATTTAAAAAACTGACTATATTACCTGCACTCAAGTCAAAGGAACAAACCAAATATTTAATTTATAAATAAGAAAACTAACGACTTCTTGGTCTGTACTAGGAACCATTGCCACTGGATGCCGTAAAAGATTTAGCAAACTGCTGATGACCAAATCCTGGAATTCCTTGTAATGTCCCCCCAGGAGGGTGCGTCACATGGTGAGAGGACCCCTCCCCCACTTGATTCACACGGTCTATATGTTGAGCATTCATGTTATATTTCAAGTTTGTCATCATGTCATTTGTTCCCTGAAGATACATCCCATGCATAGGATAACCATTCTGATATGGTGGGACCTGCCCAGCGGTGATTGGCCAAGGAGTCTGGGTCATCGGTAGGGAACCCTGCATCGACACAGGGAGTCCCTGCGTCTTGCTGGCTAGCTCTGGTAACTGATTCAAAACCACTTTGTTTGAAGTTGTAACTTTCTGTTGTTTGACATCAGTTGTGGGGGAGGTAATAGACCCCTGTTGAATCATCTCTGAAATGTTAGAATGATTTCCCACCTGTTGTACCTGTGAGGATCCTAATGTAATGTGCTGAGGGTATGAATGATTTGGCAAAGCTTGAGAGGCACCATAACTTGGTGGTGTTTGATTGACCATGGGTTGACTAATGACATAATTTGTGGGGGTCTGATTCACCAGTGCCTGACTAGCAACATATGCGGGAGGTGTAGGATTGTTCATGGCCTGAGTGGCAGCGTAGCTTGGAGGGGTCTGAAACTGTGAGTAATGTGAATTGTTTGTGTACATAATGCTATTTTGAGTAACAGTCTTATTAGGAGTAGCCAGTCCCTGACCAGGTATCTGAGGGTATGTCACACTTGCTGTTTGGTAAGAGTTAACACTAGCACCAGAAAATGGAATATTGGTTTCCGACACAGTTGTCTTTGGAAGCAACTGTTCCGAAGCTGACAAACTTCTAGCGATGGCATTGATGCTCTCTTGGTCCTCTCTGTTGTTAAGACCAGCCATTGACCCAGTGTTAGTCGAGCTGTTCCCAGAACCAAACAGAATCTGCTTCAGTTGTTCCTCATCTAAATCTAGATCAAAGTTTTCAAAGGTCTTTTGAGCATTTGTCACATCCATATTAGCAGCTGCCAGATGCCTTTCAAGTTCTTCAAATTCTTCACTTGTAGGATTGAAGTCTCCATTTTTACCTGCAATATATATTTCAACATAAAGTTCAAAGTAGCAGCAATTCTAACAATAATTTTAAGGAATAAGCATGCATGCAAAAGAAACCTTTTAACATATTCATGATCATACATTTAACTCTACAAAGGTAAAATTCATTAACTTTATGTTCCACAGCATAAAACTCTGCCTTTCATCCTGAATTACAATTTGAAGTTCTTACCAAATAAATTAAATGCTTCATCAGGCAGTTTATTAAAGACATCCTGGAAGTCTGGCTCTTCAAGAAGTTTAGAGGCTTGTTCCAATGGCAATTCTACAAAAGTTTATTTACATTTTATATTTCACAATCTATTTTTGTGAAAAATAAGGAGAGTTTGTAGGTAAGATTTATTATCTATATTTTTACTTAAAATTGAATTTATACATGTCTAATGTAAACAAAACTTCAAAATCTTTATTACATCATTTTTATATCAAGTATGCTGTGAATGCTTTCCAACGAATAAAAAGAACTTAAAATCTTTGTGTTTATCTTTCAGATTAACACAATTGTCAGTCTGAGCTCTCTAGCACTACAAACCTGTATTGAAGTTGTCCACCCCACCCAGCATGTTCTCGGACAGCTCTGTCAGGGAGTTCTTCTCCTGTCTAGTCTTTACTTGTATTCCTCCCATTGCAGCTACTGGGGGGCTGTTCTGGGGTTTGGCTGGAACAGTCACGGGGGACACAGTGTTATTTATAGACTCCTCTGGCTGTGGTGTGGTGAACTGTTTGGTTTCACCGCTGCTAGGTGGAACTGGAGGGGGCTCTGTGGGAACTTTGGGTGGAACTGCTACTGGCATACCTAAAATTATACCACTCATGTTACATCTGCATTCTAACATATCATATTTCAAACAGTGACAAAAGGATTTATTAAGTTGTGTTTTGAATTCTTGGGAATGTTGTTCTTCAACCTGATGTAAAGAAGTATATAATAAACTACTTGTTTAGAGGAAAAAAACTTAGATTTATTTCTAAATGTGATAAGAAACTAAAGTTTATGACTTTAATAATTACAAGATTATCTTTTTCATCATTTTAAATACAAGTAGTAATTCAGAATTGAATTTTGATAAAGAATCTATGCAAAAATATTAAATCATACATGAACACTTATGATAAACTTCTACAGTATGGCAGAAATACTTTCCAAAATTCTAATAACCATACCATGCTTTTGATCAAGCAAATTGACAAAATGATGTCATTTTAAAGATAGATTTCACCATTTTTCAAAATAAATTTTGTTCATGAAATTCCTTTTTGATAGAACAGCTGCAACAACTTTACCAAAACAAAGTATGCTTTTACCAGTAATTCCTGTGGGTTCACTTGGAGGGGAGGGTTTCTGAGGCCTGGGTGGTTTACGAGCGTTCTTCTTCTTCTTCCCTTTCCTTGGTGGTCTGGTTAGGGCTGAAGGCTTGGTCTTCTTCCTGATGCGCTTCTGTTTAGACTCAGAGTCCTGGTCCTTGAAATAATTATCCTGTAAGCAGAAAATGAAAATTTTCAAATCAGTTTTCCCTGTTGTACATATAATATAATTCTGTCATAACTGTACTTATAATTCTGCTTCATAAAGTTAAATCAAAGTATAGATTTTTTAAATCTTTGCATAAAACAAGATCAAAACACAGATTTAAAAACAATCACAATTTTGAAGACATATCTACTCACAGCTTTCATGGCATGTTCCATACACAAAGGAAGTTCATGGCGTATATCAAACACTGGTGTACAACACTGGGTGTTGTCAGCGAACTTAGCCGTGCAGTAGTCAAACAATTGCTGGTCCACGTTATACATAATATCTTCACACTCATTAAGGATACACCAAATAGAAATGTGTCAATTAATAATTTATGTGTTATAGTCTCTTATTACTATACATGTACATGTATATAATTTTTCTTTGTGAAATAAATCTATCAATAATTTGTATAAAACAAAAATCCACACAATCACAGAAAACTTTCTAAATAATAAACTACTCGGTATATGTATTACATATCCTATCATAAATGAAGATTTTATGATGGATAACATTTAATCTGAAATATATACATCCCACACTATACATGTGTAATGACAAAAACTATTTTATTAATTGGAAATGAATACTACAACGCTAGCAATGTAAGGTTATGAAGGATACGAGACAGACAGTGGTTGGTGTAAGGAAGGACAGGGTTTTTACACTGCTCTTCATCCTCAGGCTTGTAACTACATTGTCTTCTTTCTAAGCCCCGCTTCTTAAACCTGTACATATAAATATTCCTTGTATTCTACATGTATTCATTATAACAGTGTTTTGTGACTTTACCAGTGAAATAAAGACTGTGTACTGATGAATGAAGAATAACAAAAACCCTAAAGTTAATTGCATTGTATTGGTATTTGTTATTCAATTTACAGTGTATCTATCACATGTAATCTGAATATAAAAATTTGAATACTTAATGAAAAATGCTATTCTTGGTAAAGTTTGACGATTCAAGAAAATAAAATATACCTGTCAATAATTTTATCCTGTTGATGCATCATTTCTTTAACAACAGCTACCATTTCCTTGGGCCCTTCCCTTGAGGCTTTTATAAGGGCGAGTGTTGTACTATTTTTCGACTTTTGATGAGCATGGTTGGTCTTGTGTGACTTCCTGTACTGAAAGCACCTCCTCCTATACCGAGCTCTCAGCAGGGCAAGTTTGGTCGTTCTCAGAATGTCTGCAGCCCTGAAAAGGGTAGAATATATTTGTTTTATATAAATGAAATTTGTTTAATGCATCATTACTGTGGAACCATCGTTTGTGGGGAATAGCGTTCATGCAATGTGTAGGTCTCCCTTATCATTAATTTTACATACCCTTGAATGATAAATCTGTATACATATCAGATTATAGAATTTTCTGTGTTTACAAAATACCCAAGAAAGAAATTATATTCAGGTAAATGTCAGAGTATTATTTTAAAAAGCCCTTTAACATTTATCTCCCCTATATTAAAATGATCCCACACTATTCTGAATGTTTCAAAGTAAAGAATTTGATCCTAGACAAATACAGTAATATCTTTATAAACAATGCCCTTTACCACATAACATTCAAGTGCAGAGTTTTATTTTCTTCCCTTTTTATAATATTCCTAATCATAAGTAGTTCACAATAACAAGGAAGAAGTAATACAAGATTATTGTACATTCAATTCACATTTTCTTATTTTCATTCAGAAAAGCACAGTATAACTTTAAAACTACACAAAATTTTTGCTGGCATTCAGAAGGACAGTCATTACTACACAATTATTTTTTTTTTAAAGAGTTACTACATATTATCTCATATCACATCTACACTGGAAAATTATCCCTTTACCAATAATGCCTAATTCTGAATGACTTTAAATCATTATAATTTCATAATGTTCATACAGTAAAGCAAGTTGAACTACAAAAGATCTGAATTGCAGAGTGGACATGGTTTAAGTAAGTTAACAAAGATCAAATAGACATGGAGGATCTTCATTAACTTCATCAGCTGTGGACCTGCCCTAAGTACACTTGTACTTACTCTTCCTCATCCTCGGGCATTTCTTCATCTGAGGAAGGGGAAAACCAGTCTGGTTGCCATGACAATATTTCTTCACTCTCAGAGTCACTGGTTTCATCCAAGGAATCAAAACCTGAAAATTATTATACACATTGTAAATATCATGCAACTTTTGTGAAATTTTCTTTGACAATAACAGTTATTTATATGACTGAAATATAACATTAACCATAGCTTTGAATGCAATTTAAATTAAATGAAAAATCCTAAAATACAAAATACAGAAAAAAGACAGGAATGGAGAATTTCAATTTCTTACCATGTTTAGTATGACATGTTATATGTTTTGGGTTTGTTTTTTTTAAAAATTAATTTCAACAACCTTCAAAATAATTATGGCTTAAATTACCTGCACCAACAAGGTCATGCTTTTCTTTCTTCTGTTTCACAATATCTTTGTAGAAGTTCACAACTTCATCTTTCTTGAATTTTTTCTTTAACACAGCGTCGTCACATTCCATCTTGAATTTATGAGGTCTTGTTATGGCTGATGATGGGAGATCATTTATTACATTGGATCCAAAGAGAGCATGTGTAGAAGTCTTAGATTTGTTAGTTTTTACTGGCTTACTTTCATATGGAGGGGGTGGGGGGATGTCTTTGTGGGTAACACCAAGTACGGGCTGGGTGTCAGTTTTAATTTCTGCTGTGGTCTTGATGGAGGGGGAGTACCCAGAAGCTATGGACTGGGAGTAAGACGGGGGTGGGGGAACAGGTGGGGGTTGTTGTTTACTTGGTATCAAGGTACTATATTTCTCCTTTTCCTGAATATTTTTCTGCTTTAGAGCTTCCCCTGCCAATGTTGATATATTATCTTTCACAGAATTTTGACTGGACAGATGAGCAACAGTTGAACTGAGAGGTAGCGATGTTGACCCTAGATGATTCTGTATTGGTTCCTGTGGAATTGGAAAACTACTTAGACCCATGACCATCTCAGAGCTGATAAAGTTTTGTGGTAGTTTTGGCACTGAGTTAGGCATTCCCGGCAACAATTCAAGAGGCATTCCATGGGGAATTCCATGAGGAAGGAATCCTTGTCCAGGGAGACTAAAATTTTGTGCTGTTTCTGTGACACTGTTCACTCCATGGGGCATTAAATACACGGGTAGTGAGTTTACAGAGTTTCTTTTATGACTACTTGAATTTAAAATTCCTTGTGTTTGCTGACGAGGTGAAGTTTCATTGGAATTACTTGGCACCGTTCTATCAATGAAATCATAATGGTTAACAGCACTTGATGCGGATGAACTATTAAAATTGTAGCATGGAGATTGCGACTGAGAATTTGATTCTTGGTTTCGTTTTAATTTATCTTTGATTCTGTTCTGAGCAATTTTGGTTTGTAATCTATTCATTGTACGAGAACTTTTGGCCTTTCCCTTCTCCTTGGCCTTGCTTCCTGTGTCAAACTTTGGTTTAATTTTCTCCAATTTTTCTGCAAGCTCTGGGTAGAGCTTGGCAATGGAGGATACCCCCATACCACCATCTCCTGGGGACTTGGAACCATGTGAGCCCTGGGACCCCACTGACAGCGGGGGCTCATGGTAGGGGCTGGACGAAGGAAGAAGTGTATTGACCGTGGTAATTGTCTTCTCTTCACCACCGGGATCAGTAAAAGCATAAGGATCATCTACATCCTCAGTCTGTGCATTAAATACATCACTCTTTAGAACATTACTCAACCTTCTGAGATCATTTCCAGGCAGAGAAGAATTCAGTTTGCTTGAGTTGAATCTAGAGACCCTGTCTTTGAATGGTAGCTTATCTCTAGGGACTGTAGGAAGGTGCTGCACTGTTGTTTTGGGAGGCTTCGGTTTTTTCTCCTTCTTTGGAAGCATTCCCAAAACTTGCATGTGGTTGTTACAGTATCTGTAGGGTAAATAAACATTTATTTAAATTCAAACAAATAAGTGAATGAATCCATCAAATTCAATGCAAAACATTTCAAAACAACTAAGAATTGTTACTTTAATTTAGAAACACTGCAGGATGGGAAGAATATACTCCATCTTTAATCGTATAAAGCACTGAGTATTCATTCATTCTATTATAACTTACTCTCGTTTTTCATGAAGTGGGATTGCCTGAGTACACATTTGTTTGCTGGACTTGGCCACATATGCACACCGCCTGAATGGTGCCGTGGGATCCTCCAAAATGTGGCGCACACAGAAGCCATACCCATTGAGGCGGTGCTGATTACATATTTTGGCACTGAATGAACATAGAGGTTTGTGATCAGCTCCCGAGGTGTAATGAATGTTTTTACCTTCATACATTATCTCCACAATGGAGGGCCGTGATGAACTCTGTAAAAAATGTAAAAAATGAAGAAAAAAACACAAAAGATGTAACATAAGTTGATAACTGCTGCACAGTCAGTTTCTGATGAACTTTACATCTTAGCTTGAAGAGATTTACAATGATATGATTTCTAAATTGTGTTTTACAAGCATAAACATATAATCATACTATTATACATATATTCATTATTGACTGGGTAGAGGGCAACATATTTATTATATGCTAGACTTTAAGGAATAAAATACTGCCCAAAGCAGAACACAGGGTAATATGTTTATCCAAAGAAGGTTAACATTCTCAATGTTGCCAAAAACACAGTCAATAATTGTTTTTAATACAGGAAAAACAAATCATTTGCCTAGTATTTTGTTTTAAATAAATTATGTACATCTTGGTGACATGTAGATCTAGTGCTAGTGAATCTTGCCTTGATTGTGTTTTCTATTGTGCCGTTACGTATTTTTGAAGTCACAACCGTATAATTAGGTCACAAAAAATCAATCTTATAATTAGAGTCCGAATGGAATACTCTCTTTGCAGGTCACTAGTGAAAATTAAATGACTGTCAATATTTTTGGGTGGAACTTTTATAAATTATGTTGCCTGTTTCTCTATATGAAGAATATGGGGATTATTATTTACTAAATAAAACAAAATATAATGTAATTTTGACAAGTGTATTTTCATCCAATTTTAACAAATTCTGTCTTTTCATCACAGGCACTTGTTAAGTATACGGGAAACCCCCTACTTTTATTTACCACAAGGTACCTAACTCATTTTCAGGCACCCCCACTTCAAACTCGTATTCTGTTTATAAATCAATCATTAACCTACTTTAAAATGACATTGTTCACTTCAAGGGACTTTTTACTTGTCAATAACAATGTTTTAGACCTCTCTGGTCGAGCATCTTTATTAAAAACTATGCATTTATTCCTCGAATACATTTTAAGACTTTCCTTCAGAAAAGTTCAGTTGGGGTTATAATTAGATAAAACAAAAGACCTTGGAAAACTCTCTTTGCTGGTACATCTATAACCCCAACCTGAAAATTAAGATGACTTAATTTGTCAATATTTTGAGGAATAAATGAGTGGTTTGCGATAAAGAGGTTCGACCAGAGATTTCTGAAATGATTTAAATGACAAGAATAGAGTCTTTTGAAGTGATCATTTTAAAGTAGGTTAATGACTGATATATTAAAAAAAACAAAATATAATGTCATTTGAAAAGTGTATTTTCATCCGATAATAACAAAGTGTCTGTGCTTTGCATCCTATCATATTTTATATTAAAAAAGGAAACTTTGAGTTAATAAAATATTACGTCATTATTAATATCCAATTGTGTATTTGTTTACGTGAAAAGTATAATTATTGATTTTAGGGGTAGGGGATTGGTATAACGATTCTACGCTTTAACTAGAATTTCCTCTGCATCAATAAGATGGATATCAGATATATCTCAGATTCGTTTTGGAAATCTGTTTTCCTCATAAATTTCCAATATGTGTAGAGTGTTAGATAGAAATATCCACACCAGAACTATTATTACAGTATTAACACCTTTCACATGTCCAATATGACAATGTAAACATTGCTACCGGAAGTTGTATTTATTTTAAAATCATGATAAAAATTTAATGATGTTTACAATAAAATATAAAATCTATATAATTTAAATGCCAAACAAGGTACATCTATTCTTATTTTTAAAATTTATTTCATATATATTATAAAATCGATTCCATTTTTCTTTCACTTTTTCTTAATTTCATCGGTGAAATATGAATGGTTTTCAATCAATAAATATATCACATAACCATCATTCTTAATAAACAAGCTTTACATCATTCGTTTTTTCTATTAAATAGCCACTCATACCTTCACATTGTTTCGATAATGTTGATTATTTTGTCCCTATTGCTATTTCTGTATATTGCAAATGTCTTCCACCAAAATGGCTGCCGAGATATTCCTGTAAACTATGAATATTTATTATTAGGTAAAGAGGCCCCGAAAGGGGAACCATTTTAGGCAGGACTGAAACTACTGAAGAAAAACAGATAAGGTCAGTTTGTTTGACAAAAGGGATAATGTTATTTTTACCAGAAAATTCGAAAAAGAAATCATATATCATTTTTATCTATTTGAAGTTATTTTAATTGCTTGAAATGAAATAAATATTAAAAGGAAAATCTTTGTAACAAGAATTTTCATTGGTTCATGAAGTGAGTGTCACAAGGGGAATGTAAAAAAAAAGTTAACACAAAAATGAAATAAAATATAACATTTTTTATCATAATATTTTAGATTCAGTATTCATAAAATAAATAAATCGAAACAAATAAATCGAAACAAATTGTTCAAAAAAAAAAAAAAAAAAAAAAAAAAAAAAAAAAAATAGCAGCATAAGATGAACATGATTTATGTGATTCCAATTGTCAGTATAATAATTTGAAAAAAAAATTTTCAATTGCAATTAAACTGATAAAATGTCATAAAAATGATTATACGAGTTAAATATTTTTTATGGGTGGACATTTCCCACTACATGTATATATTATTGAGAAAAAATGAAAAGAAATCTCATCTGCTGCGATAATCCGTCCGTCTAACTTATGATTAATTACGAAAACGAAAAAAAAAAAAAAATCGACCAGAGTGTATTTGATTTTTGATGATGCACGTAGGCCTAACTATAGCTATATTTCATCTCTTGAAGGTTGAACTAGAATTGAAAAGAAATAAAGAGCAATATGTGATAAGTGTTTCAATGACCCCTAAAATAAATATTTTAATTTTACTTTGTATATAACCTTTACTTTGCACATCTATACATGTAACCTTTATTTTCAATTTGATTAGAAATATGAAATCATAAAGTTCACGTTTCCCGCAATTTTAGAATATTTTGTATAAAAATGCGTATTTTCCAAAGTTTTTATTCCAGAAAATATTGAGCGCAGGCTTGTATAAACTTTATATTTTTACCAAAGACTAGGGCCTAATTATACTGACAGAAAAAATGCCTATTCGGCGATGTGCTCAATGTTCCCCATTAGAGAGAAGGATCATTTTTGTTTTTTGTTTGTTTGTTTGTTTATATGTATGCTTTTTGCTTGGACTGCAAAAATATCAATATCTACAACGAGTGAGAGCATATAAATGTGAAAAATGTATTGGAAATATTTCTAATATAATATCTATAAAATAAAATAATATTATACATTAAATAGAAATAGTCCTTTCATGAGGTCGATTTATCTATGGATTGACCGAATGAAAGGGCTACATTTGTTTATATTATAATATAACGATATGTAACTTTCATTAATTTATACAGTAAAATAGTCCTTTCATGAGGGGTGGCCGGTTTCGAGAATTAACATACTGAAGAAATGTAGAACTGTGTGACAGATGCTTGGAAAAATATATAATTGGTGTCTGTTAGAATTATCTGTCAATATGTTATTAATATATCGGCAGACACATTATTCTTAAGGTTTAAAAAAAATATTATTAGTGAGGATATATTCGACTTGCATGTCGATTTTTATAAGAAGAAATTAGAAAATAAGAACACAAAAAAAATTGAAAGTTACTTTATTAACCATATGAGAAGAAATAAGCCAGACACTTTACCTTAAACTGATACTGCATGTGTATCTGTGTACTTTCATTAAAAAAATTAATTAATATTAAAACATGAACAAAATGATTTTAATCATTGTATATTTTGGTAAACATTTTATTTAATTTTTTTTTGCATTATTTAACATTTAATTTTCTTATGTGTATTTAAAAAGATGATGCAATATTTAATTTGTTTTATTATCTGATTTAAATTTTATTTGCTTGATATTTTATTAATTCAATTTTTGAAAAATATATTTATTTTTTTCAGATGGCTACACAATAGAAAACCCTATGAGGCCATATTCAGTTTTCACACCTTTGACAACTTGTGGGTTGGTTATTTTTCACACCTCCGGCCGGTCATTATTTCCCTTCTGGCCAATGACAGTTAAATTTCTTGCAATCATAAGGTGGCCGGTATGATGAGGGGAAAATTCCTATGTTTCTTAACTTTCGTTCTTGGAAAAGTGGTCGGTGTCCGGTTTTCAGGGGTGGCCGGTTTTATGAGAGTTTATGTGTAAAGATATGTGAAGAATTTTATTAATTTTTTTATATGCAAAATTATTTATTTGTTTGTTTGTTTATTTATCTATCTATTTATTTATTAATCTAATTTTATTTCATTTTTAAAAATATAATTTTTTTCAATAATAAAGGAATTTAACTCTAATTTTATTCTGAATCTGAGACGGCCAAATATGTTTTATTAATTTTTTTATAGCTTATACATTAACTTTATATTTCTAGATCGTGTTTAAAACTGTTCTCATGAGCCTAAGAACAATACAATTATTTAACTCGTCTTTTTCCGTATGAGATTCAAAAGCTTTAATATTGATTTTAGGATCCGCCACCCAGTTTGACTGTTGCCCTCTCTGACGTTAAATTCATGGTTACAAAAGATCCGTGAATCTAGGATATCCTCCCTCCATTAATCACACACAGAGCTATTACTTCCGATGGGGCTGTCATCTACATTTAGCGTCAAATTAATTATTTAGTTCGGAATATGAATATAGTGTTTGTATTGACATCGGTTTTATTATTTATCCCAACAGGTAAGGCATTTTATATATTTATTTTTTAAAATGCTCATGTTTAGTTTTGTATATCTGAATTTACACTCTCTTACATAGATGCAAAATTTTTCACTCCAGAAAATATAAAAAGTATTAAATGTTTCTTTTTCTAATTTTAGCACTCGCTCAAACACAGCAAGGTACGTATTTAAGCCAGAAAATTCAATAATACCAAATACAATGAATTTAATTTATCGTAAAGCTACTAGGACAAAAACACGAATCAAATGAATTTACACATTTATTGGTATATTATCCACACAGAAAAGAGTGCTAACCATGTTGTTTTTGACAGACAATGGGTTGACAGTGATGTCTATGGCGCTGATTGGAGTGCTAGGTCTCCTGATTATCGCCGTCACAGGACTCGCCATAATGGTAGTCAAACTCAGGTCTGTATCCGTCAGCCAGAAACAGGATCAAGTCAAAGTTAAAATTAAATAGCCGATATCATAATTCAGTACATTTAAACATTTTATTAAATAGATTTCAAAGTCACAATTCATGTACGTTTCCTTCGAAATTTTATGTAAATATTGATTATTCAATTATAAATTATGTTTCTCTTATCCCTGCTTCTTGATTTATTTCCATTAGCTTTACAAAGAGAGTTCCATTGCGGAGACAGAGAAAGTCAGAAAAATCCACGACCAACCAGAAAAGCCAAGAAAACACGCCCCAACCAAGCGTTCCACTGACCACAAGCGTCCCTGAGACCAGGGAGCCGGTGATGTCTGCGCTTTACGCTGAGGCAGAGACTCCACTGACGAGAAACACGCATGCTGCAGACGATGCTTCACAGCATTACGCAGAAGCAGGTTCCACAGATCATTATTCCGAGACGCAGGCGTTCGCCGTGGTAGATGAACCAAAGCCTCAAGTTGGCGTCAAACGAGGTGGAAAATACGGTTATTCCACTGTTAATAAAACAAAGAAGAAAACTCCCGAACCAACCGGTAGATCTTCAACGCTGCCTCGCCATTTGCCAAATGATAATGTTTATATGCCCTTAACAGAGGGAGAATACGATCATTTAAACTCTCCGAGACCTAAAAACAAGAATCCGATAGGAGGTCTTAGATTGTTACCATATCAAGAAGTAAGTTTGAGAAAAAAGAAATTAAACAAAGATCAAAAAGGACCCGAGGTAGCCTATGATGTACCACCCAGTCATAAGAGCATGGACCCACAAGAAACGTATGACGTTCCGAAATCACAAAATCAGATTGCAGCGGCACAGGAAACGTACGACGTCCCGCCATCTCATGATCAAAACGAAGGGGCTCAGGAAACCTACGCCGTCCCTGGAAGCAGCGTGCCCCTTAATGACTACGACGCTCCCAGAACTGCAAGTCAGGGAACATACGATGTCCCTCCTCCTTCCAGCCAGAGAGCGTTTCCCGGTCAGGCTACGTATGACAGACCGCCGCTGATCCCCTCAGCTGTTCAGAGCGTTTATGACGTGCCAAAATCACAGAAAGACAAAACTGCCAGTCCCAAATCTAGTCATAAACTGTGACACAATAATTTATAAATTTCATATTCATATTACCTGGATTCAAAGATTGGAAATGACACTCTGTACATGTGTTTTAAATCCTTCATCGTTGATTCTGACAATCAAACAGAAACTACTTTGATCTCCATACTGACAGAATTTTTCACCACAGTGCATTTCATATTCAGATAATTCTGATATACATTTATTGACTATAGGGAACAATATTAAAACAACATTAAATCAAAAACATTTTATTGTTATTGTAGGTACAGTAGAAAACTTCCAAGGTTATAGTTCTTGAGCAAATAAAACATTGATGAGAGCAGACTTTGTTTCCACCTGGATACTGTGCTACAGAGTAAGAGTTACCCCATTGGGAAAACTCATAATAGAGCCAAAGTCCCCCTCTTTCTTTCTCAAAGTAGCGCCTTTCTATTGTTTCAATGCTTAAATCATATCGGTTAAATATGTTTAATGAGAATTTCTTTAATGGAAATTTATGATTTAGATTCAAGGTTTGTCTAATTTAGCATAAAATCTAAAATATAATGTTCAAATCATTGAGCCACTCAAAATTTTAACCCGTAGAAAATGGAAACATAAGCCCCCATCTACGATTTTGTGACTATTTGGCTCGACTAGTTTTGTAAGGGAAAAAAGCTGAAATCGACGAAAGAAACAATGTGTTTGCAAATTGAAGCATAAATAAGAATGTCCTATCTACCCTAGCAGTGAAATATTGTAACTGAAAGCAGATTGATGCGCTTTTAAAATTCTTCATTTTTTTCATGAATAAATAACCAATGTTTAGTTTCATAGCTGTACAGTATCGATTTTGGATGCTTAACCCACGAAAATTTGGAGAAACAGTCGCACATCAACACTATTTATTTGTACTTTAAAATACAATTGGATGAAAAAAACTATTTCAAATTAAATTCTGTGAATTCAGTCAACAATTTACATGGTACCATATCAGTTTAACCGAATGAAAAGAACAGGACTTTAATGCTACAATGGTTGATGGTCAGTTACTAAGAAAAAAACAAAGATTTGATATTCAATTTTCATACTTTTAACATGATTTTGTAGTCCTGTTAATGAAGGGACATTTGTAACAGTGTGTCGCCTCTCCCCCTTTAAGAAAAGCAATGGTATTTTATTGAGGAGAATTGGTTCTAGAGGAAATAACGCTCTATTATTATTACATAGAGAGACCCCCTCCCGAAAACTGAATCTGATGTGGGGTTTTTGTAGGGAACTGCTACACTAGAGTCACTTTCCATGGGAAAAAATCTAGCTTTTAATCCAGTTTTCATGGGGAGGATCCTACTCATGAGATAGTTTTTTGGGGGTGGGGGATATTTTAGAGGGAAAAGCCCATTTCCTCTTCCCCCAACCCTGAAAACTGGCTCAAAAGTAGAGCATACTCTTGGAAATAGGCTCTAGAGTAGCATTTACCTACGGCATAATGGTTCAAGAGTAGGATTTCCCAAAAGAAATTCCAACTCAGATTTATTTTCTGCGGGCATCCTTTTCTGTGTTAAAGTTTCACAGTGCGATTTCTTACAGGACCAATTACCCCAATTAATACAATGTCTGTACTTACGTGTAAGCGACAGATCTAGACAGAGACATATTGTTACAATGGTCCTTTCTATAAGCTTTCCAACAATAGCTCTAGCAGAAGCCACATTTAATGAAACTACATTATAACAAACATTATAATCAAAAGAAAAAAAATCAAAATGTCAATTAGTTCCATAAAACATATGAAGTATGAAAAGTAAGAATTAACAAAGAAAAACAAAAGAAATGGAAAAAATACATGTATGGTAAAAAGCAACCACATGGACAAATTACTGTAACTATAGTTATATGGAAATACCGTTGAGAAATCCCTATTTTAGCCTTTATTTTCTCCAAATGTTTTTCAAATTATACCACATAAAACATGTATTGCTGTTGAGGAGTATCTTCAAATTACTGTAGAGGTTAAATATCTAAAACAGTTGTCAATGCGATGAAACGTAAATGGACCAATTTCTGAGAAAAAGAATGAAAATTTACAAAAGTTTAAGAGCGTATTTGCTCTCTGATTTCAAAACATTACACTGCTGGAAGCAAGATAACAAACTTATGTTAGGGCTTACAATTTTTTATATTTTTCTGTTGTGTTTTTTTCTTTCTGTCTTTTTTCCCTTAAACTATTTCATTTGAAAACTCACAAAATGTCAACCAGTTCCATAAAACATATGACGTATAAAAAGTAAGAATTAACAAAGAAAAACACAAGAAATGTAAAAGATATGGTACAAAGCAACCACTTGGACAAATTAACTATAGTTATATTGAAATAGTGTTGAGAAATTCCTATTTTTGCATTTATTTTCTCCAAATGTTTTTTTCAAATTATATTACATAAAACATGTATTGTTGTTGAGGAGTATCTTCAAATTACTGCAGGGTTTAAATATCTAAAACAGTTGTCAATGCACTGAAACTAAAATGACAAATTTCTCAAAAAACACACACACACAAAATGAAAATTTACAAAAGTTTAAGAGCGTATTTGCTCTCTGATTTCAAATCATTACACTGCTGGAAATAAGGTAACAAACTTATGTTAGGGCTTACAAATTCTTGTATTCTTCTGTTGTGTTTTTCCTTTGTTTCTTTTTTCCCTTGAACTATTTCATTTAAAAAACCACAAAATTTCAACCAGTTCCATAAAACATATGACGTATAAAAAGTAAGAATTAACAACGAAAAACAAAAGAAATTTAAAAGATATGGTACAAAGCAACGACATGGACAAATTAACTATAGCTATATGGAAATAGCGTTGAGAAATTCCTATTTTTGCATTTATTTTCTCCAAACGTTTTTTTTTTTAAATTATATCACATAATATTGTTGTTTAGAATTATCTTCACTTTTCTATAGATTTTAAATACCTAAAATAGTTGTCAATGCCAAGAAACTTAAATGGACCAATTTCTTTAAAAGGAAATGAGAATTTATAAAAGTTTAAGAGCGCATTTGCTTTCTGCTTTCAAATCATCACCCTGCCGGAAGCAAGGTAACAAACTTATGTTAAGGCTTACAAATTCTTGTATTTTTTTGTTGTGTTTTTCTTTGTTTCGTTCTTTCCATCGAACTATTTCATTTAAAAACTCACATGATATGAGTAACATTTGATATAAATTTTGAAATTATGGAAATGATTTTCTAACACGCTCTTTGAGGAAAAAACATAAAATACTGGGTCTATAGAGTGCTAGCAAGGCTTTAAAATTGGCCTAACGTATTTTGAATTTCGTAAGTAAATAGGAATAGCTGCGTTAAGAGAAGAGAGAAGAGAGTCCTTAGATTTTTAAGTGACTAATTCACAATTTCATATGAATTTAAAAAAATTCTTCTTAAAAATTGTTTAATTTCATAACCATTTCAAGCCAAAATTTGTCATGTTTGTCAATTTGAATTAAGCATTTTTGAAATAGAAATCCAACTCTATGAAAGAAAGAATGGGAATCTGGCTATAGAGTATAATTTCTCCTAGGAAAAATCAAACTATAGAGAACAGCAGATTCCGATAGGAAGTCTGGTTCTAGGGAAATCCTACCCTACAACACTGGTAAGTTTGTGAACATTTTTTCTTGTGTTTTGTTGATAATTTGAAATACACTGTAATAAACTAAGTACATGTACGTATATCATGAAATATGAAAATAACCATAGACCTAAAACGAACGAATAGTAATCAATCTTAAGCGTCCATTCAAACAGTATAAAATAGGAGCAGAGCAAACATGGACCTCTAAAATACGAGGGCTGTTCAATAAATATTGTCCTGAACTGTATGACATACAATACAGATATCATATGACATGAAGCATGAATTTTTCGCATTATTGAATCTTTAATGAATTTATAACAATTTATGCGACCAATTTTCTTCACATACTTTCATTGTGAGAAGCTGGAAAACAAGGGCTATTCGAGACACTGTATGTAAAATCAATGGTAAAGAATCAGTAAACAGGAGTTAAATTAAACGCTTCATTCAAGCTGCTGTAAAACTCGTTAAGAATAACAAAGAATTATTCACTGAAATATGTGATATTTACGGCAACCAATGTCTGTTTTATAGACAAATAAGAAGGTGGATTTCATTGATAAAAAAAATATATAACGAGCATCAAAAATAGGTACCGTCCTTGCCAACAAAAATTATAACAACTAACGCACTGTTTGCCAAATTTCAACAAATAATCACTTATGATGTATGACTGACTTTAAGACACATAGCAAATTTGATAGACATCATTTCGGAAGTAGCTCACAATGTTTTAAAGAAACGCTTGACAGTAAAAAAGCTTAGTACTCAGAGGTCACCCTATGTTTTGAAAAATGAGTGAAAACGACAGCGTGTAAGAATATCTAAACAATTATTTTAAAAAATCAAAAACTGTAGTTATCCAACTTTGTTTGAAAGTCAAACAGATAATGAAACTTGAATCTATTGCTTAAAAACCTTAAAAAAATACAAAATATGTGCTTAACAAAAACAGCAAAGGTCTGAGAAGAGCAAAGAGCACAAAGACAGATTTATATGGAATTTTCTTAACTACCGGTATTAGTGGTCTTGTTGTTCATTTTCGTATTCGGAAAGGCAATTTAATTTCTGGAAGAGTCTAGAAAGCAATTTTTTGCAGAAAAAGAAAGGTTTATTAGAGGAAGGACCCAGAATCAGGAATCCACTACATTAAATATCTTCATGACAGCGTCAAAATCTGCATGCCCAAAAGAGTAAAGGAATTTTTGGGATAAACAGAAAGTAATTTTTTTTTCACATGAACAATATTTGCCAGATCTTTCGCCTTTTGACTTGTTTCATTTTCCAAACTTGAAAAAAAAAACCTTTCAGAAGGAAGAAACGAGTCCAGGAAATCATAAGATCTGCCATTTTTCAGTATACTAAGGGTCATACCCAAAAATGAGTTCTAAAAACAATCAGAAGTTGGATAAAATATTTACGGACATGTGTTTTAATTAAAAGAGAATATTTATTAAGTTAAATTATTAAGACTAAATCATTGAAAAGCGTCATTTGCTTCTTTCCGAGCACCGAGTATTTATTGAACAGCCCTCGTATCAGAGGTGGGATCAGGTGCAAGGAATGTGAAGCATAAAATGTGAATATGAGTAAAATTATACTCAAGTGGTATATGTTATAGGTCTTTATACGACTGAGCTTCTTAGCATTTACAACTTATCATTAGGCCGTACTTTGAATGACATTTCATATCGATTGCAGTTTTTCCCTCAATACGAGGGGCTCACTGCGGGGGTGACGGTCGACATGGGATGTTTACCCCTCCTAGACACCTGATCCCGTCTCAGTGTTCTGGGATCCACGTTTTATGTTTACAGATTTGTATTTTTTGAAGATTTTTTTTTAGTTTGAATACTTTTTAATATCTTCATCCTTTTCATCACAAGTGATGATTTATCATCATAAAGTGTTTAAAAGACTTAAGTGTTTTAATTGCTATTGATTTTGCCAGAATTTTACTATTTTTATACGTGGCTGTTTTGGGATTTTTTTGCGAGAAATATAAAAAAAAGATCCCTCTATGTATCTCTTTGGAAAAGATTTGAGCCCAGTTAAAATGACAAATCACGCAGATGATTGTTTGAATTCTGGGTTTTCTCCTCCACATTCCTATAATGTATTCTTTGACTGCAAAATGCATTTCTAAGTCGTAAGACTTAATTTGGACTCGATCGAACTTAATCTTAATTATACGTTAAAAATATGTTTTACCTCTCAAAACATTTAATTAGATTGGATAAAGTATGTAAACAAAAGTAATCCAAAATTTTATTACACAATATCATAAAATACAAATAATTTATGTACATTCTGAAAGTATAATAGCCTATTCCTCACTCTTCCATGACACTTGATACCACTTCTGATGTTTAAGAGGTCCTTATTTGCTCTGCTCCAAAATTTGTATAGTTTTAAGAACATTTGAACTTGAATACTGTTCGAATTCCTTATCTCCATATATTTCACTCCTTCTTCTTTTTTTCAAGTTATTTTTATTTCTATCATTTTTTTTCTAATTTCTAATTGGAAAGATATTGTTGTGAATGGAAGCTAGAAGTAAATACACAAAAAAACTAATGCTATGGTATTTTCTAGTAAAAACCTTAAAAAATTGAGTTGTAAAACAATGAAGTTTAAAGAAGATGTTATTGATTTTGTTGATGAATATAAATATTTGGGTGTTGTCCTAAAAAATAATGGTAAATTGAAATATGCATGCGAGAATTTAACAGGTAGAGAAAGGAAAGTATATTTTATGATCAAATCAAAATTACCAAACAATGTTAGTCTCTCAGGAAAGGCTCAGTTTAAGATATATGAATCATACATTATACCAATTTTAACTTATGCTTCTGAAATCTGGATAAGTGATTTTAAGAAAATTACAAAAGACTTTGATAAAACTCCATTTGAAAAAATTCAAAATTTCATCTTGAAAGACATTTTAGGGGTCGATAATAAAGCTTCTAATTTAGCAGTTAGAGTAGAGTTTGGTGCACTTCCCATTATTTTCAGAATTTATAAATTATTATTTAGATATTATTATAGATTAAAAAAACTTGTTGCAGATCAAGAGAATTCAAACTTACTTTTACAACATGCATATTTAGAGGATGAAAAACTTGCAGGAAGTGGAAAAACATGTTGGCAAAACTGTATACAAACTATACTTGATGAAGTTATTGGTTCAAATGCTAATACATTATCAATAAATGATTTTGAAAATAATTTGAAAAAATGTTTTGAGAATATAGTTTTTAAGGATATAATAAATATAAGAGAAAAAAGGTAATGGCAAATTACCATTCTACAGCCAGTTAATAAGTCAAGGGAATCTAAACAAACTTGAAATTCAACCATACTTAAATTTTTCCATTTCCAAGAATTTTCGTTCTTTTTCGACTCGATTGAGAATAAGTGCCCACAAATTACAGATAGAGGTTGGCAGATATTGTAATTCAATTATACCAAGAGATGAAAGATTTTGTATTAATTGTCAAAATGTCGTTGAAGATGAACATCTTTTTTTTTATTTGTATGTCCTCTTTATAAACATCTAAGAAGTGAATTTTGTACACTTTTTAATAATACATGTATATCTTATGAAATTCTTAATCCAGCAGATGTTAATTCTACAAGAAATATTTGTAACTTCATACGTGATGCATGTAATATAAGAAAATCTATGTGACTATATATATATTTCATATTTGTTTACTGTATGTATGACCTGCGCCACATGTGGTTTTTGTCAAATTGAATGAATAAATAAATGAATTGCTAAAGTTTAAAGCATAAACATTTTAACATTCAAACGTAATAGTGTACTGAATATATTAGGACAATATACAAATAAGACTAATGAATAACATTTCCCCCATTGGGTGGAGGATGTTTCAAATACGATGTTATTCAATAAAATACGATTTCTCACCAATAATGACGCAGATCATTGCACAATAAACATGTATCTAGCTCAACGTTTGCGTCGGCTTTTCTGGTAATGCACGAAAAAAATCATTTTCAAAGTTATATAATTATATATAGTACATAGTATAATTGATTTTACTTCATGTTACATTTTTTGCATTTTTTTCCAGAAATTATATATTTTTTATTTTAAACAAAAATGACAAAAAGCACTTTTTTTCTGTGATTTTTTTTTTAGTTTTTTATAATGAGGACTTAAAACTGCGGTATCTTTATATAATTTTTCTTTTATATTTGCATATAAAAATATAATTTTATACTATACTACATAACTTTAATAAAAGCAATGTGTATTACAATAAAAGAATGAAAGAAAAGATAGGTTATTCAACTTAACGGATAATCAATCGTATCTAGCACATCCTTAAAATCACGTCACGTGGTTCTTAAAAAGTGACAACCGGACTCTGGGTTATAATACTCCAATGTACCTTTAATTCGGTATAGGATGAACATGTATCTCTTTGTCCTCTTGATTTTGCTTTCTCCATTTCTTGTGAAGGGTGAGTAAAATTAAAGTTTTATGTTAAATTTAGACATATTTAAATAGAGAGACATTCAGGACTGAATTGTACTAGATAGAAAATGATGAAGATGGATATCTAAATTTGCTTTTCAACTACATTGTAGTATAAAAAGTTTTTAGATACTTATGAAGCGTGTCATATATAACTCTTGGTAAAAATATGCAAAATATTTTCTATAAATTTGTAGTAAAGACCCTCTGTATGCATAAACTTGAGTGCTCATAAAGCTTTTACTCAAAGAAGGTAAAACAAATAAAAGCAGACAATGAAAAACAAAGAAAAAAGAGAAAATCTCATTGATATACCCCTGTTCAGGTGATTGTCATGGTAACCAACTTACGGCGGGAAATGGCATGATACAAAATGAAGGCTACCCTTATAACTATAGCAACAATCTCAACTGCTCATGGACCATCCGTGCATCCTCTATGGAACAGGTCATCCTCACCTTTTACACGATCATGGTGGACGACTGCGAAAACTGCGAATGTGATTATGTTCAGGTAAAGCTCATTATCCTTTTTTATACTAAAAATTATAGGAATAATTCAAATATATTCAGTATCAAGAACTAGTCACATGTTCTTTACTTAAAGAATTGTAACTTTGCATTTTATTTTTATAGATATATTTTTAAAATTATCGTCATTTTTTTAAAAACAAGAATTTTACTTTAACATTAATGATGCCAAATGATGCTTTCAATTAAACGAATTTATAACACAAATATGAACATAAAAAATCTTATATATAGAAAAGAATTTGATAATTTTGCAGATAAGAGACGGTCCTGAAATGTCAAGCCCAGTAATTGGTAAATACTGTGGAGAGATCACGCAGCCATTTTCTGTCATATCATCAGGCAATGCCATAACTGTAGAGTTTATGACGGATGAAACCAGCGAAGGAGAAGCCTTGAATGGATTTACAGCAAACTACACATCTATACCTAGTAAGAAATAACTACACAGCCATACATAATTAGAAATAACTACACATCTATACCTAGAAAACAATAATTACACATCTATACCTGAAAACAATAACCACATCTATAACTAGAAAACAAGAACTACACATCTATACCTAGAAAACAATAACTACAAATATATACCTAGTAAGCTAAAACTACACATCTATACCTAGTAAGCTAAAACTACACATCTATACCTAGAAAAGAATAACTACATATCTATACCTAGTAAGCTAAAACTACACATCTATACCTAGAAAACAATAACTTCATAGTATACCTAGAAAAATAAATAACTACACATCTATACCTAGAAAAAAAATAACTACACATCTATACCTAGAAAACAATAGCAACCATCTATTCCTAGAAATCTAAAACTACACATCTATACCTAGTAAGCAAAAACTACACATCTATACCAAGTAAGCAAAAACTACACATCTATACCTGTAAGCAAAAACTGCATATCTATAACTTGATAGTATTAACTACACATCTATACCTAGTAAGCAATAACCTCACATCTGATTCTAGTACGTAATAAATACACATCCATACCTAGTAATCAATTACTTCAATAACTACACATTCATAGCTAGTAAGCTTAAACTTCACATCCATACCTAGTAGGCAATAACCACACATCAATACCTAGTAAGCTATTACTAGAAACCCATACCCAGTAGGCAATAACTATACATAAATACCTGGTAACTAGTAACTACACATCTATCCCCAGTAAGCAATAACTACAGATCTATAAAAAGTAAAAAAAAAATAGCTACACGTCTTTAAAAAGTAAACAATAACTACACATCTATGAATAGTTTACAGCAACTACACATTTTTAAATAGCCAACAATAGCCTCAAATCCATACATAGTAAACAATAACTACACATCCATAAATGTTCTTTGTAAACAATAACTACACATCCATACCTAGTAAGCAATAACCACACAACTTTATCTAATAAATTTTAACTACAAATCAATGACTTATAAGCTACGTCTACACACCCATACCTAGTAAGCACTAATTACATACCCATGCCTAGTAAGCAATAACTACACATCCAAACCTAATAAGCTATTACTACACATCCAAATCGAGGAAGCTAAAACTTCAGTTCCATGTTAGGTGAAGTATAACTTCATATCTGTACACAGTGAGCTCTTGCTACTTGGATTACATCCAAGTGATATGCTATATTGACACATATTCATAACTCGTAGGCAATATAAGCCACACAACGGTACCAAGTAAACTATAACTACACACCTATACCCGATAAATAACGATACCTTCATACCCTATTAGTTACTGAGTATTATGAATACACATCTCTATACCACGTATCAAGTAGGCCATAACTACAATCCTTACTTGGTAAGCTGTAACTACATATTTGGGTGTTTTATAACTTGCTAGGCACGGATATGTAGTTAAACTTACTATTGAGTGATTATAAGTAAACAATTTATATTCAGCAAGCTGTCAGTATACATATGTACACAAGCAGTCTAAGTAAGTCATAGCTATCCATCCATGACAGTAAGCTTCAAAAGTATCATACTTGGTAACTGAACATTCATAATCAGGAAGTAAGAGCTAGTCCATTCACAAGAAGCCATTAGTGGAACAACATTGTATGCTAATTAACCAAAGTAATTTTGAATACTTAGTAAATACTCACTGATGTCGAACAATCATATAAAAACTTTTAAATTCAAACATACAATTCTTTATATCCAGTGTGTGGTGGGAACTTCACAACCATGAACGGTACCATCATGTCCCCTGCTATTAACAACATGTACCCACACAACGCAGACTGTGTATATCAGATCACTGTTCCTCCAATGTACCAAGTCTTCTTCAAAGTAGAGAGGTTAATCCTACAGGATAAAGGAGAGGACAATATCTGCTCTGACTATCTGCAGGTAGGTTAAATATTATTCAAATGATGAAATCTCATTAACGAAAATTATAAAATGAAATTAATTTCTTTTACATATACATACTTTTACTTGCACAAAATGAATGGTTAGTTTCTAAGTGGGTATATGTTTGATTATATTTCTGTAAATGTTTGGTCCGAGAATTTTGTTTTTAAAATGAAGTATTTTCACTACCTTGCAGCTAAAGGAGACTGCGAGTGGTATGGACTTGGGCAGATATTGTGGAGAAATGGACAGGTTTAGCGTTATAACATCAGGAAACACAGCCTACGCTAGGTTCGTCTCCGACAACCTGACCACGGCACAAGGCTTCACCGTGTTCTGGGATGCCATTGGTACAGAGTGTTCAAAACATTATATTTTTGCATATTAAGGATCTAATGGATTATATAATAAAACATTTCAGGAATCTTAAGAGCTAAATTCATGTCTTTTATCAAACATTGACAATTTCAAAAGACACAATCTGTCAAAAAATAAGTTTTAAATGCAAACAGCCAGACAGCAGCAGATTTGATAGATGTAATGATATTTCTTCATCTAGACTGCACAAATGAATACACAATGGCCAGTGGAATGATCAGCTCTCCGAGTTTTGGAGGTTTGTACCCTTCTAACACCAACTGTACCTATAGAATCACATTACCAGCAGACAAGAATGTCTTCCTGAAGTTTTCAGTATTTGAACTAGAACAACAGGCAGTGGAGGACTCTGTGGAAACGCCAGGACGGGATTGCGCCGACAGTCTGGAGGTATGTTCTGTTCATGTCTGTATACTGTAAAAGTGGTTATTTACGCTGGTTGTGACTGTCAAAACATCACTTTTTCAGTATATAGCGTCTTGTGTGTGTTAGAATGTTGATCTTATTTGCTATCATGTATAATATATACCACAGTTTTTTGGGACCTAAGCTAAAATTTCACGTAAACCTTAACAAATTAGCAATTCTTACTATTTTATACTTAAAGTAATTATCTTGATGTGATAAAGTTGAAAAGCAAGCTTCTGGGGTGTTTGTTTAGTGTGAAAAATTAGTTATTAGAACTATATAGCTTATAGACGAATAGCATTTGATGTAAAATGAATATGTACAGACGAAATACCCAATATTTCTTCTGCTTTCATGCAAAAAGATTAACTGTGAAAGTGAGATATCGATATCTCAAGCATTTGATAACAAACAACCTATGAAGGTGATAAACATGATGAAAACAATAAAAAGCTTTGTAAGTTTTCTTCTTTAAAGGCATACAGAAATGGTTTTATTATAAAATTCTACTCCTGAAAAATGAAATATGTTCCCTGTATATCCTTCAGATATATGACTCTGGCAGACAATTGGAAGCTTATTGTGGCCTCAGAGATCCCTTCAGCATTATGTCTACATCTAATATGTTGTTTATGACATTTATGACAAATTTTCCTTTCAACCGTCAAGGATTCATGGCGGAATATGAAACTTCAGGTCGGTATAAGTAACCGTTTGGTACTACAGTGGAATTCCAGTATCTTTCATACCATAATAAAATGTTATTTTCGTTGACTTTAATTTTAATTAAGACATGCACATTAATGCATAAGAATATGTTTCTTTTGATATGTTTTTGTTAAATATTTTACTACACGTATTAAATGCCATTTAAAATTAAAACAGCAACAGTTTGGGGATAAATTTACACTACTGCGTAGAATATGAACAAACATGTCCATTATGCATCAATAAATCTATTGGTCCATCCATGAATTTTTTTTTTTCAATATGTTAACATTTTATAGATCCTGAAATGATATATACTGACTACAGTGGGATGATCACGCCTCCCCTGTTTCGATTTATGTATGCACATAACATAAACAAGAATTTCACCATCGCCAGACCACAAAATGAGCCCATCTTCCTGACAGTGATCAATTTTGAAGTGCAGGAGGCGGTCAATGGTACCTGTGTGGATTATATCCAGGTATGTATTAATGAATTTCAAGGACATTCTCCGAGTACGATCAATTTTTAAACCACGACAGGCTACTACCGATAAAGTTGATCTTACAGGGATTGCAACAATCTCGTCAAATGTAAACATTTTGAGAATCTCTTTGTCGTTGTAATGAGTGTGTTTGCAAACACAACACATTCTGTAGTAGTATATTGTGTGGTATACTTCATACCAATTGTTAGTCCATTGTATTAAGCTAAATTTGACTACGACATATTCCGTGTACCTTATAAGATAGGGGTTGTGGTGGATGTGACGGATCGACATGCTTACCCTTCCTAGTTGATTTTATTTCTGGAAGTTCAAAGATTCAAGTGTTTCTATCCTGTTCACAGATTTGTTTCGTTTAAAGGTTTTATAAGATCGAACAATATTATCTATCTTCACTTTTGTCATTCATATCGGACCAAAAAGTGCTGGTGATAGTGATGATGTATTATATCTTTGATGACATCATTGGGGACAAAGAGGCATTGGTTTTTGAATGATACTGAGTAACTTCTGATTCCATTAATTTACCGTTTTTCTGTGGAATAAAAATTGCCAATAAATGTTGTTTTTTTTTCATTCGAAGTTTTACGACATTGTTATTTAAAGTGACAAAAAGTTATAAGATATATAGATGAAAAATTGCAAATTAGGTAGAATATTTAAGAAGGAATATCCAGATATTATCATATACTGTATACAGTGTACTGTGTAAATACATGTATGCAGGAAATTTGATATTGGAATAATTTACAACTAGAATAATCTAGATATATGAATAAATAAATCTGATTTAGAATATAACTTTTTCATTTTTGTAGCAGTCCTAGAAAAGTAAAGGAAAAATTTGACTATGCGTCACTTCAGAATTGTAATTGCAGTTAAAAATTTTATTTGAAATTTTTCAAAGAAACACTAACTTGATTTTAAGCTTATTTTGGGACCACAAGATGGTATCAAAAAGGACATTTTATCGGATTTCCTATAGTTTGATGGAGCGTTGTCAAATTTAAGATACAGTAAAATGATACAAAAGTTTTTAATTTGTATTTGAAAATGACAAGAAAAATGAAATTCACCACAGTTCACAAAGAGCTATTTTGAATTGTAACAAATACTCTACTGTTTAAAATTTCTTTAAATTTTGAAATAGATAGGCTTTGACAGAACGTGTGGAGAACAAGACCCCATGATGTACCTCTTCTATGGATCTGTATCATTTAGCTTCGTATCAGATTTGTCCATTTCCGGTGCTGGTTTTCAAGCCCAGTATGACGGTAACTCCTCTACATTTACATCCACATTTTTGTTACTCTTTATATTGGCTTTAGTTTTGAAATTTATGATAATACCTGTTTTCCTGTTTTCTGTTCTTCAGTATGCAATACGACCATCACTGACGAGTCTGGTATGCTTCGCTCGCCTGGTTACCCTGCCGTGGTATATGAAAATATAACATGTACCCGCACACTCCGACAAACATATCAACGGGTATTCGTCATCGACTTCACTGATTTTCAACTCCCTCCCAAAGTCAATGGAGCCTGTGAAAGCTATGTCATGGTATTTTTCTTTGACATTTTGATAACTTGAAAGTTCTTGCCCTTTATTTCTCTAAATCTTTATGTTGTTGCTGAACTGAAAGCAAGAGCAAAACACCCCTGCATTGCTTCTTTCTCTCTTCTTTTGCGAAACTTGAACGTGACTTTAAAGTCTTATATCAAAAGTTTATAATCAAAAAAAAATTATAAGAAAAGAAGTGGAATTTTTGAACAATTTTTTTCAGATAACTGACCTACATACTGGGGTCATTGGGATCACGACAGAGGTCAATGGCCAGATGATGATGGAGACCAGACTTTGTGGAAATCGAGGTCCTTTTAACGTCACAATCAAAGCCAGGGAGATCAGCATCATGTACAAGTCCCTATTCTCAAGAAACACGTTTGGTTACAGCATGAACTTCAACATTTCCGATATACGTGAGTTTTAAAAAACAATTAAAATGTTCTGCAAAAATTACGACATCTTATGACATGAACTTGTATAAATAGATAAATAAGAAACGTAATAATTGTTGAGCCGCACCATTATTTTATCCATTTTTCATTCAGCAACGACTACAACTTCAACAACAACGCAAGGTCCTTCTCAAACAACGACTGTTGAAGGTAACTTATCAATAATAAACAAATATAAAAAGTAAAAATAAAACAAGATTAACCTTTTCAAATTGTGTAAACTGAAAAATATAGTGAAATGGAATTATTGAAAACTTATGTATCTCTCAAATACTAAAGTATTTCAATGCTTTGTGTTTTTTAGCGGAAAAAATACTTTTTTTGCAAATAAGAAGAAATATAACTTAGATCTGTTCTTGAACAATTTCTCTTCTTAATGACCTAGGGATAAAAATTTTAGATGCAGTTTTCTAGGTCTTTCATGTAAATGTGCAGTATTATTTACTGTTCTCTTGCTTAATTTTTAACAGATGATGGACCAGGGACAACACTCAACAATTCTCTTAGTGTTCCAATAAGTTAGTACCCTCTTTGTCATTCATCTAAAAATAGGCTTACTTTGTTAAAATTGCATGAAACGTGAATATAATGAATATTTATATTCTTAAAAACCCTAAGCTGTTTGAGTTTTTTTTTCAATACATTATAGAAATCATACGTACTTAGTAATGCTTGCCTGCAAGAACATCAAAATTTATTTCTTACGTATGACTTAACATACCCCAGGTAGTTCAAGGACTTCTGGATTCATATTCGATACTTAATTGAGTTATACAGTGTATATGCTATCCCTTATTAAAGTAATTTAGAACTGAAATAGCACAAAACATATTAAAATAAGAAGTAGCTTTCAATCTCCAATTGTATATATTATTGATTTTTCTTTAATTGAAAAAAAATGTTCTTACATTTTTTTCACTTAGTGATGATATTCAATGTTTCTTTGTTTTTGTTTCAGTTGTGGCCATCATCATTATCAGTGTTCTCCTGTTTATAATTGCTGTGATTTGCATCATAAAAGCAAAGTAAGATTTCAACCAATTTAAGATAATAAATCTAGTAAAAATAATATGGTATACCATCACGTAAGTTTAACAGTAATAAATGTACAATTACATTTTTTTTTTAGATCACAAGTTTTGATGATTTTTTGTTATTACAGGAGCTCACAGAATAACACTGGAAGTTTAGAAATGCTCGCGGTGCGCAGAACACGACAATCGGCTGCCTTGTATAACCCTGCATACGAGTCAAACGACGAGTTGAACGGAGGAGAATTCAAATAAACCATACATTCGGAAGCTATTGTAGCCTTGCGTTCTACCCAAATTGTGAAATTCCAGTGTTCATATTTGTTAAACTGTGATATGTCATTACACTTCATCACCGACCATTTCAACATCCGGTTGTTGCATCCATAGTAAACCTGACGACATCATAAATACGTATGGCATTGCGGTGAAAGGAAATGTAACGGCCATAATATAATCCAGAGTGATTTACCTTTCCAGTGTTATAGATCCTTATTTATAATAATTTCCATCATATCGTAATCAATTATTATGTAAGATCACTTACTCTTTAATCGGATTGTGGTTAGAGTATTGCTTGTATGACATCCTGAATATAGCCTCGTAGAAGGAGGTGCAGATATTTAGAGACATTACAAATCAATGATGTTGTATATACATGTCAATCTTGTCCTTATGTATGTGTGTGTGGACTTATATGTAGTAGTATATTGTAAGCGAACTTGATTCGCCTTTGGTGCATGTTGATCCGGTGATCCATAAAAGAGAGTGTTATGATAGTTATACATCTTTTATGTAAATAGAGAATATTATTAAAACTGAGAAGTGCAAATAAATGTTGTGAAGTCTTTACTTCCTCAAACATTTAATTAAAAATGTATGTTGATGACAGATGAAATCATCTATACGACAGAAAAATTGAACGCACTAAATAATTTAAGACCAATAAGATATTCAGACTGATTTTTTTTTAATCTGAAAAGCTCTTAATTTTGTTTCTTTATTAGTCTACCTAAATGTTTTTTTGTAATGAAGCAGACTTCATTCAAAAACCTCTATATGAGAAGAAAAAAAACTTGTTACCTTTCACTAGACATTCAGAAATATCAACGTTTCATCAAATAGTTTTGCACATTTTGACTCGATATTTCTCACCCAACTTACAATAAATCACTACAAATTTACTTAATCACTAAATTGTATGACAAATTAAACGAGACGACCAGCTTTTCCATCGTCACCTTCTTTATGCAATATTATTTTCTTTTAATCTGCATATGGTGCTTATACTTTCCAACTTAAGACTCAAGAGCATGAATACCATCAACTTTTAAACCGAGGCAGGCTACATACTAAAAAGTTGATATTACAGAGATTTCAACAACCTAGAGGATTTATATATCGAAGATCTAAGACATAATCATCCAATGGATACACGTTCTTACAATTAAAGCCCTGCTGGACACGGCATCACTGGTGACGTAAATATAGCCGAGAATGAGGACCTTAAAATACTTCTTTAAAATGACCAAAAATTAGGGCATCCCGGTCTTTCAATTGGTGTCATAATTTTATAAAGGTGAATTCTGTGGAAGATTAAGCTTGACAGTGGATTAGACACGAAAAAGAGTCTCTGTGTCATAATTTATTCAAATTATTAGGGGCATGATGAAATTTCCGATTGTTGGGCAATATCAAAACCATATATCCTCTTGTGATCAATAATTTAGAACAACACTATCTTCGATTGTACTGTCATTATTTTTGTATTTTAAAGGGACTTGAATTTAATTCTGCAAGTGGTAACCCAACTTATATATCCTAAGCAATCTTTCTCAGGAGAAGATTCATTAGATCATATATCAATTTTTAATATTTTAATCATTTAACCACCACAATGAATCCGAATTACCATACTCCTACTAGATTCCTAGATTTCACACAAAATATCTTTGCAAAACGCTTTCCAGTTAATATTCTAAAAGCCTCTTTCTTTGCTTCGCACTAAAATATTAAATCGCACAAATGTAAATACAGTGTATTTAATTACAAAAACAACGCATTGAATACATAAATTTAATTATAATCATAATTGCTGTTATTGGGGAAGTGGTGCAATGAAATATGGAGATAATGAACAGGATTCAGGCTCAAAAGTCCATCCAAAAAATACAAATCAGGAGAAAAACACAAACCTCTAATACATCAGAGGTCGGATCAGGTAATGTGGAAGAGATAGCATTCCCTGCAGACTTGTCACACCTGCCGCGTACTCCTTGTCATAATTGGGGGGAAATAGTGAAATCCTTAGACAATCCAGTGTGTAAATAATGACCAACAATTAGTATAAAAACGTCAATCAGCATTTGACTTAATGATAGATTGTATTTGCTGACAGGTTCATTGCATCGACCATAGAACTTGCCAAATGAATAACTTGAAAAGTGACAGTAATATTTTTTCATCATCTTGTTATTAATAGCTTGTCTCGTTTTGGAATTTATTTTCATATGTTTCATAATATCCTGAAGTTGACATCAGAAAGATGCTTGAAATTCTGATTGACAATATCTATGTTATTTTTGGAGACCAGGTCTTCCAACAATCTATTGGAATTCCCATGGGTCCCAATTGCGCCCCGTTATTAGCAGACCTACTTTTGTATTCATATGAAGCAGAATTTGTCCAAAATTTTATGTGTGAAAAGAAAAAATAAACATTTGCTCAATGCTGTGGCCTTCAACTCGACATTAAGATATATTGACGACGTATTGTTAATTAACAATTGTAATTTCCATTCTTATGTCGATGCGATGTATTTTGGTGAGCTTGAGATAAAAGATACCACAGAGTCTGACACATCTGTTTCATATTTGAATATTTTACTTGAAAAAAGAAGTTAATAAAAATCTAACAACAAAGCTCTATGATAAACGTGATGATTTTTACTTTTCTATCGTCAACTTCCCTAACTTATGCAGCAATATACCTTCATCACCTGCATACGGAGTTTATATATCTCAGTTAATTCGATACGCAAGAGTATGCTCTACGTATGAACAATTTCTAAAACGAAGTAAATTATTGACATTTAAGTTGATGAAAAAAGAATTTTAACAGTCTCTTTTAAAGTCATAATTTCGTAAGTTCTATTGTTGAAACAATGACCTTGTCAGCAAATACAATTTATCATTGAGTCAAATGCTGACTGACGATTTTCGTGCTAATTATTAGTCTATTATTTATATACTGAATTGAAGACGGATTTTCCTGTCATTTTCCGATCATAACAAGAAGAACACGGCGGGTGTGACCGGTCGGCAGGGAATTCTCACTCCTCCATGGCACTTGATCCAACCTCCTGATGTTTTGGAGGTCCGTGTTTTCCCTGCTCGTATTTTGTATAGTTTTATGGATTTCTTATCTTGAATACTGTTCGTTATCTCCATATGTGTCATGTAGAACATGTTCTTGTGTATCGAATCAACTGAGACACACACACTGTATAAATCTGCAGCTGATATATTGATACAAAATTAACGGAATTAAGTTGACGGTTGAAAGGTTGATGTCATCACGTATATCAAAAATCTTTCTTTTGATGGTTACCATTAACAACTTTTTCCGGTAAAATGCTAGTATTCAAATAAGAAATAGATGTGGGAGACTCTGTGGTATCTTTTATTTCAAGCTCACTGGAATATGTCGAGTCAACATATAAATGAATGGAAGTAGATATTGTTAATGCGTCATCGAAACATTTAAATATCGAGCTGAAGGCCAAAGCATGACTTTCTTCCTCTAATATATATTATTTTGAATAAATTCTGCTTCATACGATTACAAAGTTAAGTATGCTAACAACAAAGTACAGATTCAAATGACAGTGAAATCATACAGAGATGCGTCAGAAAAAATACCTTATTTTGTAATACCATGAAACAACTTCAAAGTGACTTCATAATACATAGTAGATTTTTTTTAAATAAGCAGACATATGCTATATACATGTGTATTACTAGTATATTGAGGATTTAATACTTACAAAGCATTATGTTTCAATGGTTATTGTTGAATATTGTTTAATTGCAGAACTGAATGAGAGAGATTACCTAAAGGTAAACAGCCTGTCCTTGTGATTGAAACAGCAGCAGTACTAGTAAAGAACATACATATCTACCATATGAAAGAAAGTCAAGTTAACGAGTTTTAGTCATGTTTATCGACTGTATATTATATTTTAACAAATAAATATATTAGTGACAAGTAACAGCTTTTTAAAAAGATTGCCTGACTAAATCAATCAATTTATCTGCATGAAAAGTGATAAACCTTTTGAGCATTAATACTTTCGTGGGTTTAAAACATATCCTAACTTTATATTTTGAGAACCATGTGCAATTGAAATCTTGATTTTATTTAACTTGTAGAAGAATCATCCCTACACTGCATACTAAAGAATTGTTATTCGGGGGGATGGGGGGGTCTGCTAGTGGAGTGATCTGCCCTTGGATCTAAATTGATTTCAAGCTCCATTGTAACACCTACATGTATTATAAAATTTGTTATCAAATCATGCATTGTAAACATTTCAAAAGATGGATATAATTACATACACATTTTGCTGGAGTGTATTTTCTCCTCTGAAGTAAACTGTAGTAATGTGTGTTTATTATTACTATTTTTTTCTTTAAAAAAAAGGGGGGTAGTGACACTACCATATATTGAGAATGAAATAATTAAATTCAAAATTTAGGCCTTTGTGGAAAGAAAAATTCTACATTTTTCACTGCTTTCTTATTTATTTTTGTGTATCTGAACAGAGACATATAATAATAGATGACTTGAACTGCGGTGTTTAGTTATAATTGGACTAGTCCATTTATGGAATAAACTAGGGATGTCAACGAATAGTCGACTATTCGACTGTCAGTCGAATGGACCGACGATCGAATAATGAAGCCACATTCGAATATTAAATAAATGCAAGAAAAGGGGGTGATAATGAAATGTTCATCTCAAAATTAAAAAAAAGGTCCTTTCTCAAACTATACACCTCAGACAAATAAGAGCTCAAACACAGTCACAGTATATAAATAATTTTCCACATTTTACATATTGAAAATACAGTGATTACATACCGCGATAATCATTTCTCAATCTACCGACTTTTTTTTTTTTGTTATTGTACGTAGTAAATTATGCAACTCTATACTGGACTACTAAAATAATTTAATTGACTTGTACCAATTATATTTATAAACTCTAGGTATTTCAAATGCTTAGGAACACACAATATTTGCATAGCCGTGAAGTTTTAAAGTTCGATAATTATGAAAACAATAATCTGACATAAAAGACATTTTGATGTCTAGCTTGGACAATCATTAATTGAACAAACAATATTTTACATTTTCATCGGAGGTGTGGATAGTGTGTGTTTACAATTCCCAATTTCCAATTTATTTCAATTTTCCAATTCATTTTAATCAATAAGCTTTCAAAACACTTTGCTATAAAAAAAAAATAATAAATGCTCTGAATAGTCGACTATCGTTCGAATAATGCAATCGAATGTTCGACTAAGGAAAACTAATATTTTGACATCCCTAGAATAAACCAACCGCGGGATAGGGAAACAAATTAGAAAAATCATTCATTTAGTGTTGCATGTCCATATGCTG